TGTGAATAGCCACCCAAAAGGACCGGGGGGTGATGACCTCGTTTCTCCTCGCCAACGACTCTCTGGTGGAGATGCTGGAAGCCTGTCTTCGTGGCAGAGCTATCAACGGGTAGATCCGCGAGATACGAGGCAACAGCTTCCTTGTAGGGAGCTCGAATAGACGGCCGGACTTAGCGGCTGGGCTCAGGAGCGTTGCAACGATGATGATTGTACGGAGAGAGTTAAATGGATCCAGGACAAGTCAACTCTCTCCCTCTCTCCCTCTAGCGCCAGTCATCGTGCCTGCACTACCCTGTTTTGGAGCACATGGTGGACCCCGCCGAACTTGACGGTCAACCTGTCAAAGGGCTTGCTTGTTTAGTGGCCTACAGTACGCGCCAGAATTCGTGCAACATGCCGATATATGCGAAAGATTGATACTCTTTCGCTAATCGGCATTGACTCAGGTTGTGATACTGATCATCGTCTAGTCTATTCTGAAGTCATTTCAGTCATGATACGATGCCGGCCTTTTAACGAGCTTATTTCTGACCGCTTACAAAACGTATGAGCTGTAAAAAGTAATTACTTAAATAATATTAGTTTTTATCATTAATTTTGACTGTCTTTATAAATCCAAATATACCTTATGCAAAACGCACACGAAAAAGTTATTTCTTGCACTCGTTTGGTAGCTAATTGCACCTTCTTTAAATTGTATACTTAAAGAAAGGGTATAATTCGGTTTAAAAAATTCTTATTATGAGCATTTTTTAGGATTGTGAGGTGTTTATTCATAGTACATCGTATCCGTCAATTTATTAATGTTACCCATACTGTATAAAGCATGGTCCACACCCAGTGCAATATTTTATGAGAACTATGTGACTTCTTCCTCAAACTGTAGGCAAACACGTACTTTTCCTTGAACAAGGTTCACACAGTACGCAGTTTGTAAACCTTGAATTCGAGTGTAGCAGTCAGTGGTTTTAAAAATTATTCAGCGAATAAGAAAAAAATTTTAAACACCGAAAGGTACCCTTTCTTTAAGTATTAAATATAAAGAAGGCGTAATTGGCGACCAAACGAGTACAAGAAATAACTTTTTCGTGTACATTTTCCATAAAATATATTTGAATTTATAAAGGCAGTCAAAATCAATGATAAACGCATACTATTTAAGTAGTTAATTTTGAGGCTCGTTAAAAAGCCGGTACCCTATCATGACTGAAATGACTTTAGAATAGACTTCACGATAATCAGTATGACAACCTGAGTCAGTCCCTATTAGCGAAAGAGTATCAATCTTTCGCATATATCGGCATGTTGCACGAAATCTGGCGCGTACTGTATATTGCCTTGGTCGAAGGGGGACGTGTTCAAGTGACGCATTGACAGCTACGACTAGCTGGACGCACACGTGTCCTAGCAGAAGTCGATTAAGAGGCGGTAGATCAGCTAATCCGGAACCACTCGCTGCTAATCTAAATGACATGAAGGTCATGGGGCCTTGAGCAAGGAAGACAGAGGTGTCAGTGTCAGCTGGCGACTATAACAGTAGGTGACCTATCTGATGAAATTCCGGCAAATATTTCACGATTTTCGCCCATCAGAGCTTTTTTTCATAAATTCAGACTCTGTGGTCTTATGATGAAATGGATCCGACAAAGCAAAGGGAGACCGGAATGGCCATTTCTCGGTTGTTAGTCGTCATCAGCCAGTCGCACCCAATCTCAAGGGTTTGAACCCCCGAGATTTGAACCCGGAACCTTCGCTCATTGAGTTCAATACTATACCACGGCACCACGGGCTCTTTGATTTGTCGGTTGAGATCGGGAATATGATGAATCTATGTGCCTAGCCGATCTAGTAGAGGAACAGTTAAGTTCCGCTTTGCCCAGGTGCTCACAGCGTGAATTCATCAGACCGTCACATAGTGACTATGATGATATGATGAAATGGATCCGACAAAGCAAAGGGAGACCGGAATGGCCGTTTCTCGGTTGTTAGCCGTCATCAACCAGTCATACCCAATCTCAATCTTTTTGGTGTGTTTATCAAAACCTTTGAAGTAAGATATTTTTTCACAACTTTGACACGAAGGCCTTTGAGTCCTTTTCGTAGCCTCAACCAAACAGCAAAGTCACTGTCACGACAAATGAATGTCCATACCAAAATCCTGATATTAATATGCCTAAGGTCAATTAAATTCGCTAACATAAGATCATATTTTCCGATTCGGGAAGGGCTTTATTCACAAAAGCTGATTCTTAATTAGGGTGCTTTTGCAGCATAACACAAAAACAAAAGGTTTTGTTCTGTCTTATTAAACAGCATAGGGAATTACTTTAAATTCGGCAACCTCCGAGTTCGCCAAAGTAATATTCGTTTTACTTTCAGTACAATGGACCAACGTGCAGTTTCTTTTGATAAGAGACTTCCTAAGCCTTAACTTAACTGAACAGATCACAACAACAGGACCAAATATACGCCGATATTCCAACTTGAATTTCAATAGTGAGGATTCATCAGTTTGATCATTTACTGCCCATTTCGTTATTCTTCTGTAATTTCTTACAGATAAGTTCAGGGTGCGAACTAGGAAAGACTATGTTCTATATGAGTCTGGCCGTTTTAAGGCATCTGCTTGTGCCCTTCGGTGACTGTATTTATTTTTATTTCAGGTATCGGCTCAATACCGGATATAGTTCTGTCGCTGTTACATTCGCACAGAGACCTAGGCATTCACACTGAAATGTTCTCTGATGGCATTATTGATCTCTGTGAATCTGGTGCAGTCACCAACGCCCACAAGGAGCTGTACCAGGGTTTCATCGTTTCCAGTTTCATACTGGGCAGCGAGCGAGTATTCTCCTTTGTCAACCAGAATTCCAATCTTAGTAAGTTTGCTTACTGACTTAACCGGTACACATTTTATTTCTTCCGTGGTTTGTCCAGCTGGCTTGATTTGCAGGCGAAAGTTTGCAGTGCATTTCAGCGTAGCTATCGACCTAATGTGACTGTTGCTCCAGTCGTGCACTGTATCTTGTCAAAGTGCAATATTTGCAGGAGCGTCCAATTTACTTCGTAACTTTGTAAGATTTTGATCATCATGACCGGCTGAACTGGCCTTAGCACTGTTCAGAGCTAATGGATAGAAATTTACGCGGGTCGTTAAAGGTAAAATAGGGTGTTTAGAGCCGCAAGCCTAGTGGCAAGCGCTTGATTTGCTCAAAAATATTTAACTGCGAAATGGAACTTCCGACTCTAATTCAAAAAATTGGGAAAAAATGACGAATATGACCAAGCAAGCAGGACATGGAAATACAAATCTCCCTCAACACAGATGTAATTGCCCCAAATGTCAGGAAAATATAGTTAGGTTTATGGCCAAACTGAGCGTTGTGTTTAGGAGGTTAGAGTTAATCCTAGCGTTAAGGTAATTGGGGGTGTACGGTTTGGGTTAGTGTTAACTGTAGCGTTAGGACTTTGAGTTGGTTTATAGTTAATATTAGGGTTACAGTTTACGTTTACATTAGAGCCACCTCTTCACTTGGATTGGCCGGTTTTATAAGCTTGTCCTGTATACGAATCCATATAAGCAATCCTAACAAAGAGGCCTTACCTATGTGTTGAGTTAGGCAATAATGCTGTTGTCTATTGCGTTTATAGACCGCCTCTATATATAGCCTAGTTTATAGTACGGTTAGAACTTTTTTAGAGAACGAAGTCCTCGGCATGGTTCACAGAGTGAACTTATTACTGGTGACTTGGACTTGGAAGTGTTGACAGTGAACCAGCTCCACGCTGTAGCTACCGCACACTTTCTACTCCCCCTTATTTTGTACCGATGGTAATAAATTTTCAAAACGATCGGAGGTCGGCGTAGGTGCATTGACTGATAAACTTAAACAGCCCGCCCACAAGTGCCACCCGCACCAGATGTACCAAGTTAAAATTAAGGACTGCTCGGTAATCGCCTGTGTCGGGATACCATGAAAACGAGATGTACGAGGAGCCATTGTGGCCAGACTCTAAGTTCTGAGAAGTATTAACTCGTCTAATTGGTTGGTAGGTTTCAATGTCATAGCTCTCGGCCTATCCTAAGAGACACAAGTGCGCCAAATTTATTATAGACATGCCCAAGTGTCAGTTCTGGTTGGAGCCAGTCAACCAAGACTGCAAAGAAAGGTCTAAGTTACAGTAATCTTCAAGAAAGTTTTTCTTTGGGAAAATAAACTAACTTTATTCAGAAGATGAAATGGCGCACATACGTTTGTTTTCAATAATTTTCATCAGGCCTTTACACTTATATGGTAATTAAGTAAATGAACTATGCGGGTTGGTAGAGAAATAGAACTGTTGTCAGGACAGGGGGAATGGGGGGAGGAAAGGGGGGTCAA